TTCCCGAAATTCAGAAATCTAATCCCAGAGTTCCCACACCTGCCAAAACCACAACAGGTCCCAATCCTACTGGGAGAGGGAGGAGGGAACTCAGTTGATCTGGCAGCCCAGTATGTGATCTCCTGTCACAGCCTGAGGAACAGTGAGTCCGTCTCCCAATAATGCTCCATCCGCCTACAGTATATGTCGATATTATATAATATGTCTTTGTTGTAAATGTCTGTAACATGTCTGTAGATTTTATTTTACTTCTATTTTTTGTTTTGTTCTATGTTAATTTTATTATTTTTATTTGCTTTGGCAACACTGATTGTACCTATCGGTCATGCTAATAAAGCACCTTGAATTGAATTGAATAGAGGGAGAGGGAGAGGGAGGGAGAGAGAGACAGGGAGAGAGAGAGAGTGAGAGACCAGGACACAGGGAGAGAGAGAGAGACCAGGACACAGGGAGAGAGAGAGAGACCAGGACACAGGGAGAGAGAGAGAGACCAGGACACAGGGAGAGAGAGAGATGGGAGTTTTGACCTGGCAGTGAAGCCACTGAGGGAGAAGGCACTCAGGGCCTTCTACGCAATAAGAAGGAGGCTCTTCAACATCAACCTACCAACAAGAATCTGGCTCCAAATATTTGAAAGTGTAATCCAACCTAATGCCCTGTACGGCAGTGAAGTATGGGGTCCCTTCACAGACCAGGATTACATTAAATGGGACAAACACCCCACAGAAACTGTACACATGGAGAGCTGTAGAAACATCCTCCGTGTGCAGAGAAAAACACCTAACAACGGGTGCAGGGCCGAATTAGGCCAATACCCATTATTAATCAACTTACAGAAGAGGTTAATAAAGTATTGGCTACACCTAAAAAACACTGATCAAAGTTCCTACCACCACAGGGCCCTGTTGAGCCAAGAGCTGAGCCCAAAACAGAGCCCCCTGAGCCAGCTGGTCCTGGGGCTCACTACCTGAGCCACACCAGCCAGCCTCAGGACAGCACTCCTAGAGCACCACAACTCAGAATCAACCACATCACAGCACCGAGCAAACAGCAACATCTCACACACTGGGACACACACACAAACACAACATAAACTGGGATGCTACAGAACCCTAAACAGACAATACACACTAGTCGAATATTTAACCAAGATAAGAAACAGCAAAAGAAACAGACCCTAAGGAAGTACAGGCTCAGTGACCACAGCCTGGCCATAGAAACTGGGCGACACAGGCAGACCTGGCTGCCCAGAGAGGACAGGCTGTGCTCCCACTGCCAGCAGGGAGAAATAGAGACAGAGGTGCACTTCCTACTGCACTGTGACAGATACTCTGGGATTAGAGAAACATTATTTCCTAAATTCAGAAATCTAATCCCAGAGTTCCCACACCTGCCAGAATCACAACGGGTCCCAATCCTACTGGGAGAGGGAGGAGGGAACTCAGTTGAACTGGCAGCCCAGTATGTGATCTCCACATACTGGTCACAGCCTGAGGAACAGTGAGTCTGTCTCCCAATAATGCTCAATATGTTTACAGTATATGTAAATATTTTTTATATGTCTTTGTTGTAAAATGTCTGTAGATTTTATTTTACTTTTATTTTTTATTTTGTTTCATATTAATTTTATTTTTATTTGCTTTGGCAACACTGATTGTACCCATCGGCCATGCTAATAAAGCACCTTGAATTGAATTGAATTGACAGAGGGAGAGGGAGAGAGAGAGAGACGGGGAGAGAGAGGGAGAGAGATAGAGGGAGGGAGAGAGAGACAGGAAGAGGGAGACAAAGGGAGGGAGAGAGAAGGAGAGGGAAAGAGAGACAGGGGGAGAGAGGGAAGGAGAGAAACAGATGGGGAATGGAAATGTGGCAGAGTCAGGGGAGAGAGCAGAGAGAAGGAGTCTTGTCCGAAATGCAAATCGTAGCCCACACTAGTCTTACTGAGCCTCTGACTCAGATTCTAGCCCTCACTGGGGTTCGGAGCCCGAGCAGTAGCTCTTTTCCCACTGTCCTGTTCCAGCTCCTGGTGGAGCTGGCCATGGTGCTGAAGGCAGAGAGCAGCACAGAGCACAGCAGAGCTGCCTGGGCAGTGTTTTAGTGGTCAGTGTGGACCTGTGCTGGTCAGTGTGGAGCTGCGCTGGTCAGTGTGGACCTATGCTGGTCAGTGTGGAGCTGTGCTGGTCAATGTGGACCTATGCTGGTCAGTGTTTTGGTGGTCAGTGTGGACCTATGCTGGTCAGTGTTTTAGTGGTCAGTGTGGAGCTGTGCTGGTCAGTGTTTTGGTGGTCAGAGCAGACCTATGCTGGTCAGTGTGGTGCTGTGCTGGGAAGTGTTTTGGTGGTCAGTGCAGATCTGTGCTGGTCAGTACGGTGCTGTGCTGGTCAGTGTGGTGCTGTGCTGGTCAGTGTTTTGGTGGTCAGTGCGGACCTGTGCTGGTCAGTGCAGAGCTGTGCCGGTCAGTGTTTTGATGGTCAGTGCTCTGCTGGTTAGTGCAGAGCTGTGCTGGTCAGTGTGGTGCTGTGCTGGTCAGTGTTTTGGTGGTCAGTGCTGTGCTGGTCAGTGTTTTAGTGGTCAGTGCGGACCTATGCTGGTCAGTGCAGTGCAGTGCTGTACTGGTCAGTGCAGAGCTGTGCTGGTCAGCACTCAGCTGTGCTGTGGTGGTCGATGGTGGTACTGGTTTTTGTGGTTTTGTGTTGTAATGTAAACCCAGCTGACAGGTTTAAATCGATTGATTCATTCTCGCCCTGGTCTTCATTGCTCTCTACTGCTCTGTGCAGAGGTGTTCAGAGCCGATACAGTTCGATTAAAAGACTGCGATGGGACACAGTCCTGCCGTCTATGGGCCATAATTAGTTTTTTCTGAAATCAATGACGTGCTGCAGTACAGCTTTGTGCTCGTTTATACTGGTCCATACAGAGTGTACCGCGGATGGCCGGGGTAACTGACGAACCGCAGGACGGGTTTTTTAAATGACTGGCTGTAAAAGACTGCTGTTATGCAAATCTGTTTGGCGAGCGCCTTGCAGTATGTAGAGGCGAGCGCTGGGTCCTTCTCTCTGAGCTGGATTAATTCATCCTCGCAGGAGAATGAATGAAGGGTCAATAAACTTCAAAACGATTAAATTGATTACCACGCAGGATTAATAGACCTCGTTCTTTAAGCTAGTGCGTGCTCCGCCTGCACCTACTACGTACCTGTATGTGTAGACAGTTACATGGAAGTAATCCGGTCCAATTCCCCCCCGCAGTACACGCCCGCCCCTCTCCCTCACTCGGCGATACAGACCGAGCTGACTGGTGGCGGGCTGAGACCAGAGAGGGCGGGCGTGTGCAGATACTGGGGCCGCCGATACCCAGGAGGAGAGAGAGAATGAGAGAGAGAGAGAGGGGAATGCCCGTCTGAGAGGGAGAGAGACTGCGGCTCGCAGAGAAGAAGGAAGCGCCGCTTGTCTTGTGCTGTTTTTTACCTCCCTCGCCCACAACTCTGCGGAGACCGGACCGGCACCGCGCTCTCCCTGCAGGGCTGCGGAAAGACTCCGGCGACGTCAGAAAGGATCCCCCTTCCGCTGCGCCTTGCGCTTGTGTTCAACAGAAATGTGAGTTTGTGGCGGCTGGCTGGGGGGCGGAGGGAAGAGGAAGACTGAGACTCGCCTCTTGCGGGAGCCGGGTGACAAGCGAGCTCGCGCACCCCCCCCCCCTCCTCCGCCTTTTATTTGTGCGCGCGGACACCTCGGCTCCACTCGGCGCGAGCGGGGGCCCGATACAACCGGCAATAAATATTTCAGCGAGTGAAAGAAAATCTGAAGAGCGCGGAGACGGGGAAGAACTACATCGTCGAGCCGCCTCGGCTGCCCCCGGTCTCTCTCTCTCTCTCCCTGCCTTTTCCTCTCCGGACTCTCGCCGGATCAGTCTTCCTGCCGAACCGAGCCTTTACCGCTTCAACCCACGATTTGTGGACTATCAATTCCGGACCACCGAGCGCCGGACCGCTCACCTGCACATCTTCTCGTTTTTTACATCGAATTTCCTTATTTTTAACTTTTTCTCTCGCATGTAGCCCGTCCGTATTCACCTTTTCAGCGGTTCTTCTACCGATGTCAGTGTTGCCGGGTTTGAAAGCAGGGGGGGAGTCTCGCAAAGTCTGGTCAGCCGTCAGTATCCCGTTCCCAGCTCTATCCCGGGGAGCCTCTTTTCCTTCCTCGCTCGGCTCTGAACGGCGACGCCCCGTCTCTCCCCTCCTCGCCCCGGGAGCGGGCTGACTTGCCGCCCAGCCGCGGTCCCGGCGGCCGCCGGCCCGGGCCCGGTCATGTTCGTGTCGGTGTGGTACGCCAAGAAGATGGGCCGCCGGTTCATCAATAACGTCCGGAAGGCCAAGAAACAGCGGCACCGGTTCACGGTAGGAGCGGCTGGCTCTCCCGCCGGGTGTGTGTGCGTGTGGCAAGGCGCCGGGCAGCTGTTTCACATTCCCCGCACACGGGCTGGGGGCTGTGGAAGAGCCTGAGCCGGGGACAGACCGCCTTATCCTCGACAAGCAGCGGCGGACCCCACGGGCCACCCCGTGTCCTGCGTGATTGTGACACGGCGTGCGTGGGCGCTGGTGCATGCGAGAGCGTGTGTGACTTTACAGGAGGGGGGTGTGTGCGCGAACTGCAGGGGGTGTTTTCAGCCCCTCTTCTTGAACAGACAAGAGAGGGGCTAAAACGCAAAAAAGAGGCAGAACCACCCGCAGTGTTTTGTCCCACGGGGCAGAAGACGAGCTTGTTTTTCTGTCTGAAATGCGCCCTGTAGTTTGGTTAGTAGCAGGCATTGGCCGTTATTACTGGTGTTGAGCGATTTAAGAGCTCCCCGATGAAGTGGGATTACTGGTTCATTCGGTTTCCTTTCTGGAAAGAGCCCAGCAACCTGCACGTGCTTTGAGCTTTCCCGTGTGAGGTGAACTGTAGGGGTTGCCCGTTTCTGCTGCTCTATAAATGTTTTTTGCCGTCTTCATGCTAATATTACCACTGCCGATGATCAGAACTGGAAAGTCTGTAGTGCCCGTGTCTGGTCAGGTCTGTTCCCATCAGACTCTGCTGTCCTGCTTGTAGATCTGTTCCCATCAGACTTTGCTCTCCTGCTTGTAGATCTGTTCCCATCAGACTTTGCTCTCCTGCTTGTAGATCTGTTCCCATCAGGCTCTGCTTTCCTGCCTGCAGATCTGTTCCAGTCAGGCTCTGCTGTCCTGCTTGTAGATCTGTTCCCCTCAGACTCTGCTGTCCTGCCTGTAGATCTGTTCCCCTCAGGCTCTGCTCTCCTGCTTGTTGGGCTGTTCCCGGCAGATCAGAACCCCTGTACACCTGCAGTCTGCGATCCTCACGTCACGCTAAACATCCCAACCACAGCCAAAGCCTCTCAGCAGAGCTAAAGAGAGAGCAGCTTGCAGTACAGGAGACCACAACGCACTGTAGCACTCGTTTCATTCCCATGGCCACAAAACAACAGCCGCCGGGTCTGATTTTGAACACAGAGTTGTGCTGTTCCACACCTGGGGATGTCGCAGCCCAGTTCCCACTCCTCTCTGGTGCTCCTTCATTTCCGCTCTGGGCAGAAGGGCCCCGAGGATCTCTAGTCCTTCCGGCGGAAAGCCGTGCTTGAATCTGGGAGGCCGTGGTCCCTGGAGTGCGGGGAACGCGCGTGTCAGCTGCGTGTTACATGAGCCCTTTACCGGGCCTGGTGAGCAGAGGGCAAGGGGCGTGGCTCTGTCCTGGCACACAGGGGCCAGTCAACAAGCTCCTGGAGGCAACACTGGGAGCAAAATACACTGTAAAACTGCTGCAGTTCTGCCACAGTTACTGTTGCAATATTATTATTGTTGTTATGTTTAGGACAGATACATCTGTCCACAACGTCTTTCACTGCTGTAAGGTTGTAGGATTCTGAAAGTTCCTGTAACTTCTAAATGCTGTACTTGTGATGTCTGTGTATGTGGAGGACACAGCGGCGTTTTTGTTTAATTGCTGTGTGTGTCTGTGTGCGGGCTCACTGGGGTGTGAATGTATAAATACGATTGAGTGGGTGCCACTGAAAAGCACTATTTTAGGGCCGTTTATGCAACACTGCACTGTTCCTGGCTCAGTGTGTAGAGTAATAGAGCAAGCACTATGGTGTTAATCACTGCAGCTGTATGTGAGTATGAGCACACTCTGTAGTGATAAACACTACAGTTGTGTGTGAGTGTGAGCACACTAGTGTTAAACACTGCTGCTGCGTGAGTGTGAGCTCACTATAGTTTTAAGCACTGCAGCTGTTGGAGTATGAGCACACTCTGTAGTGTTAAACACTGCAGCTGTGTGTGAGTGGGCACTCTAGATTTTGCAAGTGTCCAATTAATACTTCTCTGTAGTGTGTTTCTAATTACTTGATGGTCAGTGTGTTCACTCTACTGCATCTCTAATGAATACAGAGCGTCTTTACTGTAGCTGTTAATGATCAATACTAGATAGCTTGACGGTACAGTATCTGTTACTGATCTCTCCTGGATCTGTAGCTGATCAATGCTCAGACTCTTTACTGCAGTGTCCCTAATGAATCAGTCCCCAGTGTCCTTTACTGTAGTGTTTCTTGTATTGATCCCAGCCGTTGCCTTTGCTGTGTGAGGTACCAGTTCTGCATAGTGCTGGGAATCTGTCACTACAGGCTGAGTGCGTGGGCGTGCCTCTCTCTTGGCACGTTCCGACTGACCAGGAGATTTCCCCGGTGAAATCACTTGGGGTCAGATGCACCAGCCTGTCTAGTGTGGATTTCCAGGTTTTTTTTCAAGAAAGCAGCTGTCTTTTATCAGAGTGCATCTCCAAAGCCCCCAAGGGGTTACGTGAGCTGCTGACTCATTCAGAACTGCTGAGTTTTTCCAGGCTCCTGATATCTTGAGGCTGTTTTTTAGCTTTTTTAGCAACGAATCCAAACGCTAATTATTTGAGCAGATGCTTTTATTCGAAGCCTTTGAGTGTTGGTTAAAGATCGCAAACTCCCAGTTATCCTCTAATGAAGGCTCACTGGTGGTGAGCCCCTATAGTCCAGACAAGGCCAGGGTAATTAGCCCCACTGTGAGTGGGATCCCCTGAGTGTCAGTGTTCAGTCAGCTAACCTGGGCTTCTGACACCACAGCGCTGCCCTTGGTCTCGACTGGATACCTGCAAGCTCAGTGAGAGAGGGACCACTCCCCCATCAGCACTCACTCTCCTGATGGGCGCTGGAGGATGAGTGAGCCAGCCATGGAGTGTGGGGTTAGTTACATCTCTGATTGTGTAAGGTCAGAGCACGGGTAGTTTCCAGTGTCTCCCTGATGAACAGGCCCTGTCGGGCACTTGTGTTCAAAGCTTAAGAAGTTGTTTACGCAAAGGGTGGTGGGTGTCTTGAACACGCTGCCCAGGCATCTTGTAGAAGTAGATTTTTTGGGATAATTCAGGCGCTGATTGGATGACAAGATCCTCGGATCCATGAGCAATACTGTTGAGCAAAGGGAGACTTCAAACAAATGGTCAAAATCTGGAAAATATATTTTCAATGCCAGCCCAGAATACGTCGGAACTGTTAGAGAAACGAGGGCCAGGGACGCCAGTGAGATTGAAGAGAAAGGGACTGTAGCAGAGATCTCTCTTCAACCGGGCGGGTTGCTGTGGTTTCCTGGGATCTCATTGATCCCAGGATCTCATCATGCAGCCTGAACAATCCCAGAGAATCTGCTTCAGCATGGTGGATGGACGGCTCATTCGGCTTGATTTCACTTGGATTCCTGTGGGTGTTGTGGAGAGTGTTTGAGGCTGGAGAGGCCCTGTGCAGTGTCCTCTTCTGCGCTGTCCCCACAGCTGGGAAAGTTCGCTCGCTCCTTTGCTGCAGTAGGGGGGCGTGACGGATGCTCTCGGAACCTCAGTAATTGCTCAGAAAGGCTTGGATTGCGTCTCTGGAGAGCGAGAGCAAGAGGTTGGTTTATTAAAAATCGTCTCCATCCATCTCTGCCGCTGTGTTAATGAAGTCGCAGCGGGCTGCTCGCCTCAGCCCACCGCAGTGCGAGGATGTGATAGTTGATTCTTCTTTCAGGGATCGCTGTGCTAGAGTGTGTGGTCAACAGAGCAAAGCGACAGCCGCATGTTTCTCAAAGTGCCAATAAAGATGGCCTTGCTTCAGATCACCAG